CAGTCCTTTGTCAACAAAAGTAAAAATAATAATGCTTACCTTGAAACAGGTAGCAAGTCTGGGGATGCAGCTCAGTGGTAATGCACCCAATCCCCAGTACTGCAATAAATAAACAGATGCATAAAAAGGCAGTTGTTGTGGTGCAAATCCTATAATGCAGGAGATGCAGGAGCCTGAGTCAGGAGGATCTTTAGTTTGAGGTCAGCCTCAGCAATTTAGTGAAATCCTATCTCAAAAAAGCAAAAGGACCAGGTTCAGTGGCATGAACCTGTAATCACATTGGCTCAAGAGGCAGAGACAGGAGGATTGTGGGGTCAAATCAAGCCTCAGGAATTTACAGATGGCCTAAGCAATTCAGTGAGACCCCGATTCTAAATAAAATGTAACAGAGGTTCTGGGGATGTGGTTTGTGGTTAACAACCCAGTGTACTAAAAAGAGAGTGATAGAAAGAAAATAGAAAGACAAATCAGAAGGCAGGTTGTATCCACACAATTCCAACAAGTTTCTCATGGGCCGACACTCATTACCAAGTACTTAGGGTCTGAGTGATATACATACATCTATGAAAATTTGAAAAAAAATATTATTTCTTATGACCTAGAGACATAAAAAAGGGACTTGCAAATTTCTACCAGCCCTGGTAGAATGGGTTTGGAAACAATAGTCACAAACTATAGAATTTCAAAGTGACATTACTTTAACTTAACCACTTCAACTGAGTTCCTTGCAAATGTGACTGCCTTTGGGGTAAAGGTTCAGAGATCACATTGCTCCGGTTTTAGATGAGTATGAGGTTAACCTGGGCAACAGAGTCCACCACTGCCTCAAGAAAGTAAAAAAGAAGGGGAGACTTTGTGGGGATGTAGCTCAGTGGTAAAGCAGACTTGGGTTGAATCCCCTGTGGAGACTAGTGACAATGACTTGGAGACAAGTGTCTGAGATTGAGGTCTCTGATTACTTCATGGTAGTCGCATGCTATGTGACTGGGAAAGTTTCTATGCAAAAGTATAGGATGCCTGGTTGCTATGGCAATGCTCTCCATGGAACACACTCTGTTGTGAGAGTCTTTTCAGCTTTGACCTTATTCTTAGGCACACAGCTCCTGGGAGTAAAGGAACTTCCTGGCTAAGACAACCACAATGTTTCACCAGTTCTGCTGCTCCTGAATCTGCCCAGAAATTAGTAACTTTAAACAATAGATTTTCTTGAGAGCTCCACAGTGCTCTCAACATTGTGCATTGCAACTGTAGAATGTAACTGAGGAAATAGCTGCATACTGTTGCTAACTGTGTAACTTTTATAAATACAAAGAGTAATGCTTGCATAGTCTTTAACCTGATCAATAAAACATACAATAAAGATTGCTGGTGTAATACTTTAGACCTGCTGCTCCATCAGAGAGCAGAGCTCCACCTGATCCCAGCTGTTCATTTTCAAGTTCTGCGTGTGTTACTCTTTATTTCTTCCAATCTCCCATCAGCCTTGCCAGAACCTGCTTATTTGGCCACAATGGTCGCAGCAATACACAATAGCAAAAATAAATAAATAAAGTAAACACCACTGATCTCAAATTAAATTACTTCATATTGTTTGATATTAAAACAAGGTGTATGGAAACTAAAATTTCCAATAAAATGTGACGTGCTTCTCAGAACATTTAATAGTCTAATATTTTCTAATTTGTTAAATATGGAAAAAATCAGAACTATATCTGGGCATCCTGAAATCTTTAAACACAGTCACTGGTAATCACAGAGAAATAATGAAATACAAACTACAGAAACACAGATATTCTCTATCTCAACTTTTGCCTGGGGTAGATTACTGCTAATTTGATGATGTGACTCCATGTATAAGTGTCCATACCCAATACCAAGTATAATAAAAGTTGCTAGTCTTATCTAATTAACAACTGGTATATATTTTGTCCTCAGATTTGGCTAATATTTTCTGTTTTCTCTATTTCAATAGCATTCTAATGCAATTGTCCTTATCACCAACAGGACCAAATAAATTTTCAGACTACTCATCAGCTTTTCACAAATGACCTGAGCAGAGACTCACAGCATCATGTTTCTGCAGGAGCACATCCTAAATTGCTGACTTCCACCTCCAAGGGTTCTTGATACACTCCTTAAAGACAAGAAAGTCTGACACCTTTTAGGCTGCACTGGACCATGTGACAATGTGTTCTTCACTTATCAGTTTTACTTCATCTCCCCAATGACATTATCTATAAATCAGAGACCTCCTTATGGAATTCCTCCAAAAAAAGGCTCTGAAAAGACAGGCACTTTTAGAATCTTCAGAGACTCCTACACAATATAAGCTTTCATGAACTCTTTATGATAAGCACATTATGGCCATTTGTGATGACTATCAATTACTGAGGGTTCCCAGAGCAGGAAGCTGCCCCTCATGGACCTTGCTATATTATTATTTTTTAAAACCATACACTTGCTTTTTATTGAATTGGTAAATTTAACAGAGTTCCTGAATTAGTAAACCATGCCTGAGAATCCAAAGAAGAAAAAAGTATAATGGAGAAGCCCATCCACCCATCATACAGTTTATTAAAACTTGGTTCCTAATGCATTTTTCTTGGGATTACTGGGAATTGAACTCAGGGGAACTCAACCACTGAGCCACCTCCCAGCCTTTTTAAAAATTTATTAATTGAGTTATGTTTTAGAGACATGGTCTCATGGAGTTCTTTAATCTTTGTCATCCAGGTAAGCCACCATACAAATCAAAACCCTTGGGTGAAGGTTGTGGCTCAGTAGTTGACAACATGCCCAGCATGTGTGAGGCACTGGGTTTAATTTTTAGGGCCACATATAAATAAATAAATAAATGTCCACCGACAAATAAAAAATAATTTTTTAAAAAAATGAAAAGATGGGCTAGGGATGTGGCTCAAATGGTAACATGCTCAACTGGCATGCATGGGGCACTGGGTTCGATACTCAACACCACATAAAAATAAAATAAAGATGTTGTGTCCACCAAAAACTACAAAATAAATAATAAAAAATTCTCTCTCTCTTTAAAAAAAATGAAAAAAAATCATAATCCTCCTACCTAAGAATCTTGAGCAACTGGGATTTCAGGTGTATGTCACAGCACCTGGGGATTCAAAAGAATTTTGAGAATTTCACAGTCTTTCATAAAATTTTAACAAGAGTAGAATTTAAGTCTGCTGCAGGTCTTTAAAACTTCTAGTACACTGTTACATTAAATAAACCTCTCCATATTCATCTCAGTTTGTTTCACATAAGCATCACACTACAAAAGTTTGTGACAAAATGCATATATGAAAGGAAAATATGTGATTCAAGGTCCAAAAGGTTAATTGTTATCGTGTTTGGCACCCAAATCATGTCTTCAGTATGACAAAGAATATTTTAATTCTCATTTAATCATTATATATTCTCACTACTTGCTCACCTAAAAACCCAAATCCATCAGAAGGTGGCCATCCACCTGCCAGCCCACTATTGAACAAAAAGGATAGGCAGATCCTGTCAGGAGATTCTGTATCCTCCTAGGAGTCTGATTCCTGCACTGATGTACTCACCAAGATTGAGTTCCTACAAAGAATGCTGGCACCTTAGGATAGTTGCATTCACTCCAGTTCCTCACACTGCCCAGGAGCAAGCCTGCAACTACTGCCTTTGGCAAATGAATTTATTACAAAGAAGTTCAGACTGCATCAAGTACTCATACACCAGTATGCAATATTTCTACTAAATCAAAGATGTAAAACTAGGAAATTGCCACACTGTCTCATTAGGTGGAAAGAAAGTTTAGAGCAATCCTGGATGGCTTAAGCTGTATTTATTAAAAACAGAAGTGCCACAGCACACTCTTTTGGCCTTCCTTTCCAAATGAACACAGAGACACAGCAAAAGGCTGGCAAGAGAGATAGCAGTGACAACCACCTCATCTTTGGCATGTTTGCTACCTTAAAAATTTGAACACAAGTATGTAAGGAACTCTTAGCAATGATCACACAAGATCTATGATTCCTGAAAAGGTTGTGGGTGAGGTTTTGCTCAGGATGCTTTGAATCCTTAGGACAGGTTATTGAATTTTTTAGCCTGAGCAGAAACAGCCCTCTCCACATCATGTAATGCACAATATCACCTGGTTGGAGGCTGTAGCTCCATTAGTGATGTAGGGCACATGAGTCTAGACACCCAAGGAATGTTCCAGGAGCAGATTATTAGATGCAGAGTTCTGAGGGGTATCACTGAGAGGTTTATATTTTTTTGTAGGGGTATACATAAAGGTGTTTTTTGTTTTGTTCTGTTTAGTTAACAGAAAGTGCTTTGTGTACAAATTGTAAGATTGGTCAGAGGTCTTCTAAGCTTTAACACAAAAAAGGAAGTCTGTGTTATAACCCACATTGAGATATTTGCAAAATTTTTTTCCTGATATTCTGTTGAAAGAAGATTATGGAGAAGGTCTCTCGAGAAGCTTATTTAAGATTCTTTGGTGGAGAAGGTAGTGCCACTATATTAGGACATGAGACTGGGATCCTACTTACCAAGTCTTTGGTCATGTAGTGTGTATTAAGAAAACCATCACACTATTTTCCCAGGGCTCCTCACGAACTCTAACACAGAGAGAAAAAAAGCCTGGGTTTTCTGGAATATTCCAACTAAGTACTATTCATGGGGAGAAATGCTAAGTTGGATGTAGTTTTTGTAAAAAAAATTCACTGATAAAAAGACCTTTCAGAAGAAAGAGACCATCTGCAATTGTGGGGGAAACACCTGCAGAGCTGCATCTGCTGATGTGGTCATCAGTGGGGTCCACACACATAGCAGCAGCAAACTCACTACCTGAGCTATGGGAGTGCTCGCTGCTAGAATGTCTAGCATGCACAAGGCAGGATTGGGTCCCCAGAACTGGGAAAAGAAAAGAGAAAGAACTCAAATATAGGGCAAAATATATTTTGAGAAAGTGCCTCTACAAATAATATACACAAATGACATTATTTTTCAATGCTCTTTAATGTGTCTACATACAATGCAACACATGAGACTTAGGACAAGCATAAGTGACAAGAGTGGGGTCTCAGAGTCATCAACAGATAAATAAGCAATCAAGGACAAGAAAGAGGCCAGCTGCAGGGTACACAAACACATCACTATGTTTCCAGCTCCCAGCCTCACCCCATTTCAAAAAATAACAATTAAAAAGACTGTGGAGAAACTCTGTGGTAGAGCACTCCTGGGTGAAATGTGAACAAAGAAAGAAGGAAAAAAGTTCAGAAGAGACATTTCATCAATCTGTACCAAAGGCTGGAGTGGAGAGGCTTAAACTAACATTCACAATATGTAATGAAACATTAGACAGAAAAGACTTAAAACACATGAAAATGGAATCTAACAATAAGAGAGATTTAACCCAGAAAAACATGTTGCTTTCAAATCTTCATGCTGATGCAATGTTCCTCTCCATCCCAGGGTGCATTTTTGTTACCTCTGAATAGGTAAAAAAAGGACTAAGGCACATACCTTTTCACACACCTACAGTGGTTTTCTCAAAAGAAATAAATAAAATGAAATAAAATAAAAATTTCCTCAAGTCTGAACAAGTTCAAATGGATCTGAAACAAGCAAAGGTCCTACCACATTTCTATATACAGGGCTTTTGTCTAGTGTGATTTCTTAAATGCTGTTCAAAGGGACCTGGAAAGTTGAAAGCCTTACTACAATTTTTAAAGAGAGAAAAAGGATCTTCCCAGATATGAAGTCTTTACACCTTTGAAGAAAACTCTGAAAGTTGAATACTGCCCCACATGGCTTATCCTCAGCATTTTCTACAGTATGAGTCCTTTCATACAACTGAACAAAACTAGAACAGCTGAAACCTTTATATTTCTTATTTGCATAGGATTTATTCTTTTTATTCCAAAAGAATCTTCCCAGTCCTTAGTAAAATACTTAGAAAACTAGATTTCCCACATTTCTCACACTCATAGGGCTTCTCTCTGTGAGTGTTTTCATATATGAGAAGGAAAACAGGGATGAATGGGAAGCTGGCAGGAGGTAGCAAATCTCCCACATTCAGAGGGTTTGTTTTTCAACCTGAGTGAAATGGCTTTGAAGGTAACAGGGAAAATGGAATGATTTGTGATATTTTTCACATTTAAAGAGTTATTGAGTCCAATGTGCTGGTGTATGCCTTTAATCCCTGAGACTTGAGAGGCTGATTCTGAAGGATCAACGTTGGAGGCTAGCCTTAGCACCTTAGGAAGACCCTAAGAAATGCAGGAAGTCCCTGTCTCAAAATAAAATGTAATAAAGAACTGGAATGTAGCTCAGTGGTAGAGCAACATCAGAAAATCCCCAGTCTCTCTCTCTCTCTCTCTCTCTCACACACACACACACACACACACACACACAAACACATTTTCAGAAGTGTGAGCCATTTCTTGTGTTTGAGGATAACATGAAATATTGATTTATATGATTTCATATTCAAAGGATTTTTCTCCAGTAACTTCCTACATGTATATGAGTGAAAAGTAATAACGGAAGAGTTTACCAATTGTTTTCATGCATACGATTTCTCTGCAGTATGTGTACTTTCACGTGTGTGAAACAGACAGGATGTGGCAAAGTCTTTTCCACATTGTTGACATTCATAGGGTATGTATTCTTCCATGTTTGTGAAGCTGATGGGATGAAGCAAAGGCTTTGCCACACTGCTTACATTCATAGGGCTTCTCTCCAGTATGAGTTTTTTCATGTGAGTGTAGCTGACTAGACTGAGCAAACGCTTTGCCACACTGCTTACATTCATAGGGCTTCTCTCCAGTATGAGTTCTGCCGTGTATGTGAAGGTCACTGGATCTAGCAAAGGCTTTGCCACAATGTTTACACTCATAGGGCTTCTCTCCAGTATGTGTTCTTCCATGCATTTGAAGGTCACTGGACCTAGCAAAGCCTTTGCCACACTGTTTACATGCATAGGGCTTCTGTCCAGTATGAATTTGTTCATGGGAGTGAAGGTGAGAGGACTGAGTGAAAGCTTTGCCACACTGCTTACACTCATAGGGCTTCTCTCCAGTATGAGTACGTTCATGTCTGTGAAGGTCACCAGATTTAGCAAAGGCTTTGCCACACTGCTGACATTTATAGGGCTTCTCTCCAGTATGTACTCTTCCATGAATCTGAAGGTTACTGGACATAGCAAAGGCTTTGCCACACTGCTTACATTCATAGGGCTTCTCTCCAGTATGAGTTTGTTCATGTGAGTGAAGGTGAGATGACTGAGTGAAGGCTTTCCCACACTGCTTACATTCATAGGGCTTCTCTCCAGTATGAGTTCGTTCGTGTATCTTAAGGCAAGAGGCAGTAGTGAAGGCTTTTCCACATTGTTGACATTCATAGGGCTTTTCTCTGGTATGTATACTTCCGTGGTTATAAAGCTGATGGGAAGTAGCAAAGGCTTTCCCACACTGCTTACATTCATAGGGCTTCCCTCCAGTATGTGTTCTCTGATGTATTCTAAATAAACTGGGATAAGCACAGTCTTTCCCACATACCTTACATTTGAAACGTGCATTCCCCGTGTGTGTGATCTTGTGCCTTTGAAGACTTGTGTGTGAAATAAAGGTTTGACCACCTTGTTTACATTCACAGAGTTTCTCTCCAGAATAAGTTCTTTCATGCTTTCTAAATAAAGAGGAGAAATGAAAGGCTTTCCCACATACCTCACACTGAAAATGTTTACATTCACTGTGTGTTCTCCTGTGTCTTTGAACACCTATGAGAAAAGAAGAGGCTTCACCATATTGTTGACATTCATCAGGTTGCCACCCAGTATGAGTATCTTCATGTCTTTGAATGTCACTGGAACAACTGATGACTTTCCCATGTACTATACTTTCATATGGTCCATCTCCAGTTTGTGTTAACATTTTTGTGTGAACACTTTTGGGAGAAACCAGAGATTTCCAAAATATTTTAAATTCACATGGCTTCTCTTCACATTCCTCGTGCTTGTAGTATTTGTGTCCAGAGTGAGATGTGATGTGCCTGTTAAGGAATGAAGGACATATGAACTCTGTGGCACATATAATGAAGTCACATGGATTTACTCTATTAAAATTTTTCTTTGTTCAATTAAGAATTGGAATCGATTTGAAGGTTTCCCCACACTATTTTGTGCCTTTGAAGTTTATCATATAACTTCTTTGAAGAAGAAGTGACCAGCACATAATCAATGCTTGATTCATTCACAATTTGCTATTTATTTATAGATCCTTACATTACTACCAACATCAGGTAAAGGCTAGGTTTTCTGACTTGCTCAACTTCCCTGAAAATAAAGAGATTGAAAGGAAACAATCCTTTGCAATACAGCTTCTCTATGGCTATTATCCAAATAGTGATATTCACATATGCAATTTCATAGTATGGTTTGAATGTCAAATACTTTGAAAAGACTGAATATCTGTTACAGTTAAGTATATATTTCTGGTAAAAACATTATAAGAATAAATACTTCTCAAATTATGCATACTTCATTGGTTGATTTGCTTTAAATATTATATGACAGTTCTCAGATTCCCTCACGAATTCCTCTTGTGAGTACAGTTACCTTATATTGCTCCCAGAGTTTTCAATCTGATCTTCAGTGATCTTGTCTTCCCACTTGTTTCCTTAAACGGAAGAACAGAACAATCTTTATGAATATTTAGGAGCTAGAAATGCTTTGCCAAATCATACGTGCCATTTATGCTGCAATAATTCACCAACTGATTCCCTTTTAACCTTCTACATAAATGAACAAAATAACATGAGTTCTCTATTTGACTAATTTTAGAAACGTCATTATTACCTATAGAAGCCAGGTTTCTGAGGACTTCCAACATCACATCTCTGTAAAGGTTCTTCTGGGAAGGATCCAGCAAAGCCCACTCCTCCTGGGTGAAGTTCACAGCCACATCCTCAAAGGTCACTGAGATCTAAAATATCCCCCCAAATGTATAGTGGAGGCCAGGAGAGATTGACAGCATGAGAAATCTATACTCAACATGCATGATGTTCACATGATTCCCTGGCCTCTCGATTAATTCCATGATTTGGTCCATCAAATCTTTACTGCACTCAACTTCTTCCAACCATTCCAACACTAGAAATTCGCTACTCAAAAGGCAAACATCATAGTGATTTATACCCTTTCTTTTGTGAGTTCCCAGGAAGTAAGACAGGCTCCCAGATCACTCCTAACTTCTTTATTGGTTGCACCTCTATTACGTTTCCTAGAAATGTCCTGTGTGGTACAGAGCTAATATAAGGACTTCTGATAGTACTTATCTTAAGAAAAGAAAGGTGATGAGAAGGAAATTGCAGAAATCATGAAACTAGGCATTTGAGAGAGATTCTGCCAACTACATTGGCTCCCTGTACCTACAAAGTTAATACAGACAACATGGTGATACTGATGTCTTGTTTCCTCTGAAAGTCTATTGTTCCATACTTAAAGAAATGCCTAGAACCAGCCCTAACCCACACCCTCTGGGCATGGGGTCACTAAGGACATTCCTTCCTAGACAACATTTAGACAACCTTTCACACAGGTTGTCTCAATGCATTAGCTGAAGATAGAGCTCATCCTGTGTGATTACACTGAGAACAACTAGAAGTTTGTAGGTGCTTTACTCCAGAACAAATTTAGTCAACTAGCTTATTATTAAATGACCAAAACAAACATGAGTTCTCTATTTGATTAATTTATTTATTAATAAACACAATAATTTTATAATTTCCTGTGGTTACTGTCAAACCAGAATGGGGTAAGTGAAAGATGGCACATGTCTGACCCAAAAATGTCACCTTGTCCAAACAACAGCCTTACAATAACTCTCAAAACAATCTTCTTAATAAACAGCAGGCACTACTTTTCTAAGTCTCATGGGAACAATGAATGTCTAAAGACTGTCAAACTCTTCTTAACAGCAGCCAATTCACTACCACAATGTACAGTCATGAGAGACATACAAATGTTCTGCTCAAGGACATTTTGATCAACATTGGGCCACATGTGCAATGGTTGTCTGTTGTGAAAGAGATTCATCGTGCCTGCAGCAATGGTGGTGCAAACAAACCTAAGGCAGAAGCTCTTCCAGAGTGTGGTCAAGCAACAAGTTTGTAGCCCAGATTCCTGAACTATCCCACACAGTCTGGGTGTGAAACAGGCCACCATTCACATCTATAAGCATGCTATGATGTCTGCACAGTGATGGAACAGGCAAAAAGAAAATGTCCCTGCCACTGACACAGAACCATACTCAAGGACTGAAAACATACAGAACCACCCAAAACAAGGAAGAATCCACAATTACACTCAGAGACATCAGCCCAACTCTGTCAGGACAATGATGCAGGCAGGAGGGCTTCATGGGCCTTTAACTGAAGGGGAACCACATTGAGGTCTCAGGGTCACAGCAACACTGCACAGGACATAAACCACACCCCTACAAGTGCACCACCAGTGAAATGCCATGTATGCTCAAAGAACATGAGAGCTAAAGCACGAATCAGATCAGAAGCAGCTGAAAAGCCTCCAGGGAAGGGGACATGAAACACAAGACTCTAAACAGACACAGGACAAAGAGGTGACTCAAGAGAAAAGGTGACCATTTTGAAGGAAAAAAATGTAAAAGTCCATCATAGGAAATTCATAGAGAATACCAGAGGTGGTGCTGTATTGGTATCTAAGTCATCCAACACACATTTCAGAAAAGGAGCTAAAAGCAATCATTGAAACTGCTGCTTCACAAAAACAGAGAAAGAAGAGTAAGGTAAACCTAAATTAACCACAGGAAAGTAACAGAAAAGGTGTTGATGAAACCACAATCAGGACATTCGCAGACTGCGAATGCACCACCATTGCTGCAGGCACGATGAATCTCTTTCACAACAGACAACCATTGCACATGTGGCCCAATGTTGATCAAAATGTCCTTGAGCAGAACATTTGTATGTCTCTCATGACTGTACATTGTGGTAGTGAATCGGCTGCTGTTAAGAAGAGTTTGACAGTCTTTAGACATTCATTGTTCCCATGAGACTTAGAAAAGTAGTGCCTGCTGTTTATTAAGAAGATTGTTTTGAGAGTTATTGTAAGGCTGTTGTTTGGACAAAAAATCAAGTTTTTCATGAACATCACCATCTAACACATTTAAAAATGTCATCATCAATAATGCATTGGGACTTCAAGATTATCATAAACGTGCTTGATACAAATTAGAAACTTGCAGAAACTGGACCATTTCTTTGAGAGAGATTACACAAAACAGATGAGCCCATGGCGGCTCAAAAAAACAGACTCAATAACTAATTACTATCCAAAAAGGCAAGGCAAGGCTCTGACATCTCAAACAGGCTTCCATGAGACACTTAAGAACTGCCACCAATTTTCTACATTTTTTTCCAGAACATAGAAGCTGAGTTAACACCTCCTAATTCCTTCTGAGGCATACGTTACTATATTATCCAAATTAAGTAGATAAAGAAAAGTATTAAATAGAAAAGAAAACTATAAATGATGCTCATAATCATAAATGCAAAATTTAATCATAAATGCAAAAAACTGTACAATCAAGCCATCACACTCCAGGTGTCTATGCAAATTATGTGAAAATTATGGGCACAGGAACCCTCACTGCAGTGACTACAGCAGCCATATCCAGAACTCCCCAAAGCTGGAAGCAAGGAAGATGCACCTTTCAATACTGAATGGACAGGTGCAGTTTATCCACATCAAAGAACATCACCCAGAAAATGAGCTCTGCAGCCTGGAAAGATACAGCACCCTTAAAGGCAGACTGGTAAGTGAGAGAAGCCAGACTGAAATGGCCATGTGCAGTAAGATTCCAACTCAAGAACATTCCTTAAGAGACAACATTATAGATGCAGTAGCAGAACTGATGGGTACCAGGGACTTAGGGAGCAGAGAGGGATGGAGGAATGAGGAGGAGCGATGAAGAGGGGGAACACAGGATTCCCAGAGCAGTAAAACTCTTCTGTATGACATTATCTTTTAAACTTCGTGACAAACACAATCACATCACACAGAGAAGGATCCCTAAGGTAAAGGATGAACTTTGGCTTATCATAACGTGTTGCTTCATCCATTTTCTTTATCAAATGTTCAACCCTGGTTTAGTAACTAACAAACACCCTACAACAATGCAATATGTTGAAAACAGTGGAGACTTATGGCTGGAGAGAAGGGGTATTCGAGACTATGAGTAATGGCACATTTAATTGTCAGCTTGATTGGATTAAAGACACTGATGATTAATGAGCTTTGGGGTGTGTCCTTGAGGGTGTGTCTACAAATGATTGGCATGTGGAACAGTGAACCAAACTAAACTGGAGAACCTCCTTAAGCTAGGCAGCACCATCCAATAGGATGGTGTCTTGGGTGGAACAAAAGTTGGAAGAAGAAGGAAGCAGCAGCAGAGCAAGCTCCTTTATTCTCAATGGGTTCTTAAATGCTACTGCAATGGCCTGAGGATATCAGAGTCTGCCTTCTTCATTCTCCCAAAGTGGACTCTGCCAGTGATTCTCCAGGGAGTTTCCAGAATCTCTGGTCTGGAGTAGGGCAGCACCATTGATCCCTCTTGTTCTGAGGCCTCAGCCTCTTGAATTCTGTAGCTACTACTTCTAAAGCTCTCCAGCTGCAGACGGCCACTGTAGACATCCAGCTTCATGTCAAGTAGGCCAATCTAATGAATCCCCTTTGATAATCATACTTCCTCTTAATACTGTTCCTCTAGAGAACACTGACTAATAAACTATGTAAGCCTAAAATTGCTCATAAAAACAAAGTTTATCTAATAAAGAAGTAAATAATCTACCAAGCCATGAAGTTTTACAAATATATACATGAAAAATAATAATATATGCTAAATACCATTTTCATAATAATGTAAAAATAAAGCAAAGAGGAAGAGTCATAGGTACAAATTTCAAAACTATGGAAGGAAACTGATTTTCAATACTATTTCCATCTGGAAATAAATTGGATGATAAGTCTTCAAAAGTCATTCCAGGGGCTGGGGTTGTGGCTCATCGGTAGAGCACTCGACTTGCACGTGAAGACCCTGGGTTCAATCCTCAGATCCACATAAAAATGAATAACTAAAATAAAGGTATTGTGTCCAACTAAAAATAAAAAATAAATTTTTTTTAAAAAGTCATTCCAACTGCTGGTGGGGTGGTGTGCACCTGTAATTTCAGCCACCAGGGAGGTCAAGGCAGGGAAATGGCAAGTTGGAGGCCACTCTCAGCAATGTAGCAAGATACTCAGAAATCTAGTGAGACTGGACTTCATCAAAAATTAAAAGGGGGTCTGGGATTGTAGTTGAGGGGCAGAGCACTTGCTAGCATGTTTGAGGTACTGGATATGATCCTCAGCACCACAGAAAAATAAACAAACAAAATAAATGTATTCTATCCATCTCCAACTATACAAAATATTAAAAAAGAAAAGAAAAAGAAATAATAAATAAATAAGAAGAAGGGCTGAGAATGTGCTCAGTGGTCAAGTGCCTGTAGGTTTACTCCCCAGTAAAACATTTGCCCACCTCCAGAACACTGCTCACTAATAGAAATTCATTTCTGGAGGATAACTAAGCATGAGCAAGTCCATGGCATCAATCCCCAGCACTCAATAAGTAAGCAAATAAATAAACAACAGTCTACAATACTAATTCTCTTGGACTGAAGAGTAGCTCGGTAGTAGAAAACTTGCCAAGCATGTATGTGGCCCTCCCTTGGATCAATCTCCAGTGGTCCACACACACACACACACACACAAAAAAAATACATGTAATGAGAAATAAAAATTATTATAATACAAAAGGTACACAATTAGAGGCATAAAATGCAACAAAATAAATGGAAAGACAACACACTTTCTCACAAAGGGGATTGAATGTTCCCATGATCGGCATTCTCTGAAAAAGCACTGAGAATTTCAGAAAATTCTGTGAAATTTAGGGCAAAGTTTACTGTATTTTGGGGGTAAACTTAAGAAAAACTACATCTAAAAATGGAAATAGTAGGGTTGGGATTCTGGCTCAGCAGTAGAGTGCTTGCCTAGCACATGAGAGGCCCTAGGTTTGATCCTCAGCACCACATAAAAATAAATAAATAGGTATTGTGTTTAACTACAGCAACAACAAAAAATACTTTTCAAAATATTGGAAATAGTAGACTGTATCTAAGACCAGCCAAAATGTTGTACAGGACAGAGTAGAGAGAGCATTTATGTTGCACCCAAATTTCATAAGCTAAAAGGCCAGCCCCAAAGGGGTGGCCCTAGCAGGAGGCACTTAGGAGGGAACAGGAATCAGGTGACATAGTGGAAGTGCTCTTGAAGGGATCAGCACCCTTATTTAGAGAGACATATGGCTCCTTTCCAGAAAACAAGTGTCATTTACTATTTCACTGAAATTCAGTGATTAAATGATCATAACTGGGTATTTCAGATATTGCCAAAATTGTCCTTAAAATTTACAATGAAGACGGGATTGATGGTGCACACCTGTAACCCAGCGGTTCAGGAGTCTGAGGCCCCCGGCTATGTAGTAAGACTCTGTCTCAAAACAAAGAATCTAAAAGGGGCTGGTGGTTAAGCACCTCTGGGCTCTATTCCTGATACCAAAAAAACCACACAGTTAACATGAACCAGCCAAGTCCAGACAACAACAGTGAAAAACTGTCATCCTTTGTCAAATTCATCACATTGTGAAGGACAGATACTAGTTTTCATGAAATCACATTCTTAAATTTATCCACAATTTTTATAGAATTCTACTCAAATTCTGCAGCAATAATGCAAAACAGAGTTTCTCTGTATCTTACGTGGCATTTTGGAATCTAGGGTTGGAGTTCAATTTGAAATCACTGAAAAGACAAGATTGAATCTTACAGAATTTCTATACATACTCAGGGGTAGAAAAAGGTAAATTAGTTAATTAGGACTTTTCTTTCTCTTTTCTTTCTTTTTTTTGGGGGGGTTTGGTACCCCAAGATTAAACCCAGAGACATTTTACTACTAAGCCACATCCCCAGTCATCCAGTCATTTGTATATTTTATTTTGAGATGCAGTCTCACCAGGTTGCATAAGGCCTGGATATGTTGCTAAGGCTGTCCTCAAATTTGCAACACTCCTGTCTCAGCCCCTGGAGCAGGAAGAATCACAGGTGAACACCAGTGTACCTGGCTGTAAGTTGGGATTTGTAACAATGGAAATGTAACTAGACTTTTTAAAATCCACTTCTTTCTTGCCTCTTTAATAATAGTCCATCCCATGTGGCTCTGAATAAATAAACCTGGGCCTCAGATAAGTGAGCACATCATTTCAAAGTGATGCACAGAAAGCTTTGGTGCTGAGGGAGCACACATGTGTCAGGCACAAGGTGCAGGGAAGGTCCCTGACAGCAGGGACATACTCCCTCCTGGTCTTGCTCCCTGAAAGCATCCAGGATCACTGTCCCAGGGACCTGGACAATGACTCCAGTCTATGAGGCTTTTCAGTTTGCACAGCTCTGCACCGGGGTGGGTAGTCCTTATACTCTGGGAGAGGTTTTGCTCCTTCACACTGTGAGAGACTAAAACAGCCAGAGTTACTGCTGACCTGGCCCCTCAGCACCAGCATCCACAGGCTGACTGTCCACTTGTCTCCAAGGAATGGGAACAGAGCTTGGGGTAAACAAGGTCCCACAGAAGTGGCTGTCTAGATGAGGCCTGTTCCAGAAGATTCCTCAGCTCAGAGCCTCCAGCAGCTTCCCTGAGAGGCTGCACCCTACATCTCAGGCTGTCCCCTAGGAGGAGCTGACCCAGGGCCTGAAGTTCTGTTCACCCTGCAGGGACCAGGGCAGCTGTGGGCACTTTGTGGCAGCTCCAGGAGAGGATAGTGGCTGAGGACTTGGCACCCTGTGAAATGTCCAAAGGGAAACTCTGCCCAAGAAATCTGATATGATGTCTACACCTAAGGAAGATAAAAGGAGAAGCACAAGATTTTTACAGCTGTGAACTCAAGTTGTCTATACATTGCATCTACATCAAAGAACCTTCAGAGTACTTCACTTTAGCTAACTAGATCACCATGAGGGTAGAAAGTCAGGGTTCTGTATAGAGAACAAAAATTATCTTGTGCTATCTTAAGCCCTTCAATAGCCAATCATCTTAATTTCTGTAACAGACCACAATATCAAAATTTCACAGAATATATCACTAACCTTACCAGATGTCTCCAAAATCTACCAAAGCTCAGAATGCAATAACAGACATACAGAAGAAATTTTCTTTATTTTTGTCTGTACCCCAACAATCTGATGTTCCTACAAATGCAATAGGTTAATGCAGTGATACACAGTTGATTGCTATATTTAAAGTCAGCCTCAGCAACTTAGTGAGACCATAAGGAACTTGGTGAGATCACATCTGAAAATACAATATAAAAAGGGCTGGGGATGTGGGTCAGTGTTTAAGTGTCCCTGCATTCTATCCCTGATATATTAAAAAAAAGAAAGAAAGAACAAAAGAAAGAAAGAAAGAAGAAAATAAGAAAGAAAGAAAGAAAGAAAGAACGAACGAAAGAAAGAAAGAAATGATGAAATCATGTAATCTCTTCCAGGGAGGGACACACACATCATTCAGGGTAACTTGAATCCATGTTCCTTAGTATAGTCATTAATATACGGGTTTAAATGAACTATTTTCTGTAGCTGGGGTGGTCAGTGCCTTTAATCTCATCCGCTTTGGAAGCTGAGGCAGGAGGAGCACAACTTTCAGGCCAGGATGGGAAAAATACCCAGATTTTTTCTGAAAATCATATTGAAAAGAGCTGGGGATGAAGGACAGTAAATGAATCACACATTATTGTAGTGGCATCCTCTTTTTTCACAGAAAATTTTAAGTGGGTTTCTCCAGAAATCTTCGCCATGGCTAATTTTAGGACTGTCAACAAAAGAGTGTCCACAAAAAAGTTCAGTGTAGACAAACTTCCTATTTTTGTGTTGCCCTATTTTCTGGGCCACTAGTCTGAGAAATTAGCACTCCAAATGCGGGACTCAAACTTCCCTTACTAGTTTTTTACACACTTGTATCCAGTATAGTAGTTTGTAGAAATATGCAAAAAAGGCATCTGGCCTTGAGCTGGGCTTCACAGAGAACTTACCAACTAGGCTCCATAATAACAGCTGGTAGAGGAGGAAAAAAAAAGGGGAGAAGAAGCTCTCCCCTTCTCAGGTGCTGTCCTTGAAGGCTTAACTTGGTCAGAACAGAGAAAGAAAAAAAGCTGATTTTATGTGTGTGATGTGACAACTTGACTATGGTGACTTCATTTTGTGAACTTAGCCATGACACACAAAAATGTCATGACTGGAGCAGTTTGCATTCTTTTATTCATGAAAATCCCCCAAGAACACAGAATGATCTATGGTGCCAACTGGAGACTGACTGACTGCAACTTTCAGCCTTGTTTGCATTGCCTGAACCCCAAATGTCCCTTTTGTGGTTTTTGTGCTTAAATATGGAGCCAACTGAAGGCAGGGGCACCACTCCGACCATCTCACTCTTTTGAGAGCAGAGTGTCTGCCAAGAGCCAGCAATAAAGGCTTAACTGGAATGAGACTGTGTGGTCTGACAGTTATTTGAGGGTCTCAGTATTACAATGTGAACTTCTGAGCCCCTCCTCTTACATGATGAGTATAAAATCCTAAACCCACCTGAACTCAGGGTTCAGGGGATTGATTGATTGATTACAGCAAAAGCTGTGCCCTCTGAGACTGGCTGCAGCCAGATAAAACTGTTTCTGGCTATCTTCAGTGCCTAGCCTCCTTTGTCCCTACATCAGTATTACCCTGTGTGCTTACGTGACTACACGACTGGGGTGACTCTACATCATGGACTATCAGAAAAGGGAGCAGTTATACTCTATTGATGAAGCCCAGGACTCCATATCCCTGGGATCTATAAACAACCTCCTTACTCCCTTTAAAGCAGTTATTTTGACCAAACACAAGGAAGTGTTAAGTGATTATTCTTTCCCCTCAAGTATAATATTCACAAATAGAAAACAAATGCTTTCAAAAGTGTTCTTCTTGCCAGGGACAGTGGCACAGGACTGTAATCCCAGATATAGGGGAGGCTGAAGTAGGAGGATCACAAGTTATGGCTGGGGAGGGAGGGAGGAAGATTATTTCAAATATTTCACTAGATGAAAAGTGACAATTAGCGGACGGTGTCCATTTGTACGGAGTGGGAAGAACGAACGTCAGGCCGAGCTGTGAGGTGGAGGGAAGGTGGGGTTTAGAAGGCAGGAGGCGCCTGCAATTTGGGGGACCTACAGCAGCCTCCGGAGGAGCTCCCCTGGGAGAAGGAGGGTGCATTTGTGGCCCTGCTTCCTCCACGTTGGGAAGAGTGGGTGTGGGCCACCAGTAGGGAGCAAAGGGGACTCCAGGGACCTGAGCCGCCCTTCCAAACCCAGGGAACCAGGGGACAGGGCCCAGGGCCACCCTCCAGCGGGGACTCTACCGTGCTCCACAGCTCACCTGCGCGCAAGCCCCAAGGAAGGTGCTGACTGTGCACCTTCAGCCCTGGTTGCAAACTCACCATTGTTGGCTTCCGTGGTGAACCGGGGTCCTCTGAGGAACCTCCAGTCACCCGAGATCGCGAGGTTCACAGGGAGCGAGAGTCACCTGGGGTCCCTGAGGAGAGAACTCAGGTGCCAGAGAAGGAGTAGCCCAGTCGCTGAGGGAGAAAAGCCCGCGAGATTGCGGAAGCCCGCCCTCCCCCTTCCTCTGCGCACCGATTGGACAGTTCCTCCCAGCGTCCTTGATGGATGGCCTCCAGGCCCGCCTCTGCATCGTGACTGACAGCTAACATCATCCAATCACTCCCTGAAATTGGGTTAGTGACAGATTCCTGGCTCTAGCCCTTTTCAGGCGGAGCTTCCCCACTGTGCTGAGAACTAATCCAGGTGGGAAGCCTTGGCTTAGCTTCTGGTAAAGAGGTGACACCTGGCGCTGAGTTAGGCTTCAGCCACAGAGTGCTTTCCGAGCATGGCGAGCCCCTGGGTTTAACCTCAACACAAAAACAAAGCACAGCTTCTCAGGGAGGGTGAGGCTGGAGGAGCCCAAGGTCAGTGAGACCTTGTCTTAAAATAAAATGAAAAGGGTGAGGATGTAGCTCAGAGGTCCAGGTCAAGCCCCACTGGGTTTATTCCCCAGTACCTCAAAGAAAAACAAAGAACTATATAACATATATATTGTTTTTTTCAGCTGATGCGACCTCAAGCAACTTAGAAAGACACAGTCTCCACAGTTTTGAAACACTATTTAAAGATATCATATGTATGACCCATACATAATATCTAAAAATGAGAACAATTTGAAAACTATTTTAGTAATTCTCTTCACCTCCTGGCCTCTGTTGCTTTGAGAAGGCAGCCTGAGCTATGAAAGGAAGCAATTGGGGTTAGCTCTGATGCTCAGTGTTCCATCCCCAGCAGAGAGGGTGGGGGAGGAAGGAAGGCAATCCTTTAGGGCAGCAATGTGTGGTGGAAATAAAATGGGTGCCTTGTGCTTAGTGTAGATGTTCTACTTGGACTGTTAGGAAGTCTTATGCAGAGACCTGACTCTGGGGATCCTACAGGTCTGGTCAGGTGTATGCCCCAGTATCAAACAAAGGTCATGATCCAAGCAGGAAAGAAACTTTGACCAATGCAGCTACACCAGGAAGACAAGGAAACCCTGTCTTTTGCTGTCTTCAGGTGCTGACAAGGACTTTGAGATTTTATAGAAGGATAATCATAGGCATGTAAATAAAGTGAAAAGTGTATGTAGGATTTAGTATTATCTGTAGGATTTAGGCTTCAGGCATCTGTGGGTCTCATGTCTGTGAGCTCACACTCACTTGCCCCATTGACACATGACACTCTACTGCACAGACTGACCTCATTTTATCTCTCAGGAGGAAGTCCCCCTTCAGTGTATTGTTTCCATGTCAAGGTTTCAGATGCACCAACATTTTCAAGCAAAGCCACAAGCCCTAGAAAGAACATACCCCCAGAAACTGACCCAGGGTCTCAGCTTGGGAAGGCGAGTATCCGAGGCCCTAAGGTGGCGTCGCAGGCGCAGTTTCTGCAGCTCTACCCAGTTCCCCCTTCTGCTCAGCCTGGATCCCCTCCTCCTGCTTGGCCCCCCATCTTTGTCTGCGCCCCACCCCAGCGCTGCTCTCCAGGCTAGGGAGAGAAGGCACCCAGGGTTGGGTTTCGGTGACTCTGGGTCTCAGGACACCACCGCTTCATCCCCAGGGGCCGTCGTTAGACCCCTCCCCAGGCCTGAGTGGGGCCTGAGTTGCCGAGCACCCCTCTGCTCTGGGGATCCCAAGGCTGCGGTTGGCGCAGCTGCAGGATCTTATCCCTGGACCAGGGTCCGCAATCCACCCCCACTTCTGCTGGCATCTCCGCCCTGCCGGCTAAATCCAATTAACCTGCAAACTCTGGCCTGGGTGGTGCCCTTGGGGACAGGTTCTCCTATCTGGCTGCCCAGTGAGTTTGTGGCTTCTGGAGCTTTTTAACCAGGTGGGGCCTGAGTACTGTGGGGGGGTGTCCATTTTTTATTCCCACTGTTATACCAGATTCCTGGGACCCCATAGACCTCCAGGAGCCAAATCTGATGCAATCACACAGGAGTCTTTACTGCAAGCTCCAGCCTGGACTCACAACCCTTTCCAAGACAGAGGTCCCGGGAGTGAGTCCTGATTTTTTGTTCAGTGAGATTTTGTAGGTTTTGGGAGAGATACTCTACATGTCACAACATCACACACACAGAATTTCACACCATGGGAAAATCAAACAACAACTCTTAACATTGATTAGCACATTCCCTGGTGGGAACAAGTTGAGCAGGGGGAATTGGGTGAGTTCAAGAGGTGGGGCCAAGAGAAGTTGCAAGAGTGTGCAGCGCCAAACTACATGGTTTCCTTACATGTTATGGATCACTGAGACTACTGGGGGAGGGGGGTCACCTGGCATCCAGTTATTTTCCCTGTCTTTAGCTGATTGGTGGTTGCTAGTGGGTTGCTATGGGTTTCAGGGTCAAGGTGTAGGCCACAAACACGGTTTGGTCTTTCCAGAAAGTAGCATTGCTGAGTCAGAGACACCTGGCACTACAGATCTCTGTTATTTATAGACAAACAACTCAGCACATAGCTCGGTCTGTGCCTAGGAATGCTCTGTGGATTTTCCAAGATCAAAAGTCACCCCTCCCTTGGACAGGTCCTGCTCTGAGGTAGAGGCTATTTTTTAAAAAATGAAGTCACATCAGTTTCTCACTACCAAGAGTCTTGGGATAGCATAACCCGCCTCAGAGAATCAGTGAGTGTTCATCTCCACCAGGCTCTGCTTTTGGAAGCACTAGGGTGCTGGACTCCAGGCTCCATGGATGCACTCAGGGCCTGGGGTATCTGCATGCTAAGCCAAAGGGACCCGAGGCCAAGTGTCTTCTTACTGGGGACCTGTGTGATGGTGCTCTCGGCAGGACCCTGGTTCTTCTGCTGTGACAGATAATCTGTTTTCACTATTGCAAATCAGTTCTGTATTTTTACCAAAGAAAACTAGAGCTTCCTGTATTGCCAGGCTTGCCTAAACCCTTGAGGAGTAAGTATTGATTGAAAATGCATGCAGGAGGCTCACCCCCCTCAACTCAGAGTTGGAATCACCAGAGGGTGCTGGAGGTGGAGAAAAGGTCTTTGTTTTAATTTGGAAATTTGAATATTCACGTTTCCATAGGTGCCAGACTTACAGATGGGGTTACATCCAGAAATCCCAAATACTGTACATTCAGAATGCATTTCACAAATCTCACTTGCGAACATCCTAGATTAACAGCCCAGTGCATTGTATGGGTTGTTTCCACTTCATTTTTATTTAATTTATTTTATTTATTTGTGTTTTTTGGTACTAGAGATTCAACGCAGTGTGCTAAACCACTGAGTAACATGCCCAGCCTTTTTAATATCTTACATAGAGACAAGGTTTTGCTGAGTTGCTCAGAACCTCACTAAGTTGCTGAGACTGGCCTCCAAATTGCAATCTGCCTGCCACAGCCTCCCAAGCAGCTGGGATTCCAGGCATACACCACTGCGGCAGACAAGACTATGTTTATTAAGGAGACCTTGGGTACTGGGAGCAGAGATGTCATAGAACCTCAGAAAGTAAGTATGTTGGGTGCTGCTAGGTAGACTATCAAATGTACTGAATATGATCCTGGGTTACAAATGCTCTAGGGTCAGAGGGAGCTGCTTCCCTGTGGAGAGATAATTGAGGGAGGTTGCTTAGATAGGAGAAGGTGAGAAAGTTCAAAACAGCACATAACAGAGAATATTGTTATCTAATAACAGTTAAATCATAATGCAATAAAACATAAGCTCTACATTATGATTTCCAGCCTATTTTAATGCACAATGTCAATAATCATGTAAGAGTCAGGTGTAGTGGTGCACACCGATAATTCTAGTGACTCACGAGGCTGAAGAAAGAGGATTGCAACTTGGGAGTCAGGCTCAGCAACTTAGCAAGGCCCTAAACAACTCAGAGTCTGTCTCAAACTAAAATCTAAAAATGGGTATGCAGCTCAGTGCTAAAGAACCCTGGGTTCAATCTCTGGTACCACTACCTCTATTATTATTATTATTATTATTATTATTATTATTATTATTAATATAATTTTGTTGATACATTTGCTGAATTGATAGCTTGACACTTATGGGATAAGAACTTGGAGCCTCTGTGGGGACTTGGACTACAAAGCCAACAGTGTCAAGTGTGTGGTTGGGCCTGGAGGGGATGACCCAGCCCAGAGGATGCTGAAAATCTCATAAGTGATGATATGGGCTGGTGACAGGGGAAAGAGCTGCCCCTCCACATCAAAGGCACAGCTGATCAGATCCCAGCCCTTTCTGTCTCCTGGCCAACCCCAAGTCTCTTTAGCTCACATCTTCTTCCTTCACTATTCTCTTTTTAGAGAAACACAGCTTATTTTAAAAAGATTCTTAGAGATCAAAATTAGTTTAAAATTTTCTTTCACTCCAGTCAAAATGGCAGATTTTAAGAACACAAAACACATTATGTGTTGGCAAGGATCTGGGGAAAATGGGACACTCATACATTGCTGGAGGGAGAGCAGGTTGGTGCAACCAAAATGGATAACTCTATGGAGATTCCTTGGAAAACTGGGAACGGAGCCACCATTTGACCCAGCTATCCCACTCCTAGGTTTATACTTAAATGATTTTAAAATATTATATTAGAGTGACACAGCCATATCAATGTATATAGCAACAAAATTTATAAGAGCTAATTTGTGAAAGCAGCCTAGATGCTCTTCAATAGATGACTGGATTAAGAAACTGTGGTATATATACACAATGGAGTATTATTCAGCATAAAAAGAGAATAAAATTAGGACTTTTGCAGATAGACGGGTGCAGATGGAGAATATTATGCTAAATGAAATAAGCCAATTTCCCAGAAAAACAAAAGTCAGATTTTTTTTTTTTATGTAAGGATGCTGATCCACAATGGGGATGGGGGAGAGCATGGGAGGAATGGCAGAACTTTAGATAGGGCAAAGGGGTTACATGGAAAGGGAGGGGGCATCAGGGTAAGAAAGATGGTGAAATGAGATGGGCATCATTACCCTAAGGACATGTATAAAGACACAAATGGTGTGACACTACTTTATGTACAACCACAGTCATAAATAATT